CCCTCCTGGGTCCCTGGGTCCCATGTCTTTTCTCCGCCACTGTAGCTCAGGGTTTGGCTCCACAAACCAGGGCTGGCCATATCCAGATACCCCAGGAAGTAACATTTCCCACTTTAAACACATCAAACTTCTTTATGTCCATTTCTTTAGGAGAAATGCTGGTGGTTAGCGTCATTGAATGGAAAACAAGTGAGAAACTTCAGCTAGATTTGGAGAAGAAAAGGTACTACAGATTTGGAAGGTTTACTGATCTCCCTGCTTACTTTGTGTGGTGGCCTTTACTTGCAAAAGGAGGTGGGTTTTATTTCTTGGGTTTTTTCCTGTGGAAGAAAATGTTTGGATTTTAACTACTTTCTTCCTTTTGAACAGAGATGTTGGTCTACTCAAGAGCTACAGATAAACCAGGAGAAAAAAAGCCTCCAGATCTTCTGCCTGAGAACTATGATCACACATCAGGACCCCACAGCCTGGACGCCCTGGAGGACCCATGTCCATCTCACATTGCCATCTCATACAGCAGTGTACGAGAGCTGAAACTTCCCCACACTCCCCGGCCAGCAGTTGTCGTTGTCATTAACATTTTCTCTAGCTTTAGCTATTCTAACGGGTATGCGGGCATATCTTACTGTCGTTTCCAACTGCAGTTCCCTAATGTCTAATGATGTTGACCATCTTTTCATTTGCTTATTTGTCATCTGAGATGACTATTCAGGTCTCCTGCCCATTTTCTAAGTGGACTGTTTACTGTTGAGTTTTTAGATTATATATAGAGAGAGAGGTAGAGGTAGATATATAGAGATACAGATAGAGATGTAGATATAATTTCCTAAGAATAAAAACACTCCCTGAAAGCTTCCTGGTCACCTTTCTTTTGTTCTGCACTGGTTTTGCAGGGCACGGGGTGGTGGCCTCCAGGGCAGCAGGGCCAGGCAGTGCCCAGGGGAGCGGCAGGCCAGAAAGGAAGAAAGGGAAGGAAGGAGGGAAAGGAGGCTGGGTGGTAGGCCAAGGCTGCCTGAGAGTCCCTGCCTCATGTGGGTGTTCTCTAACCAGTCCGTCTGCACCTCTGATGATGACCTGTGTCTATTAAACATTATCCCAGGCTCCCCTTGTCCCTTCCTGGCTTACCGGTGAAGCCCAAAGCAGTGGAGTGCCTTTGGAGGCTGTTGGTGGAGAGAGTGGTTGGGGGAAGCCTAGAGATGCAACCAGCAAACATTATACCCCTGCATTTCTGCCTGGTCTGTGGGGTGACCTGCTACAGCACCAGCCCCTGTCTGGAGCGGAAGAGCCAAGGAAAGTGGGCGGGGTGGATGCTCCCTATCCTCCCCCCACCCCACCCCCCACCCCCAGCAAAGGTGGGGCAGTTCTCAAGCTTTGTCACGTTAGGTGGGTCAGGTTTGCTTCAGACTTTCCTTTGGGGGCCCTATCTGAGGAAAGTGTATACAATGAGGTCAAGAACCAAGAGAACATGGCCATGGATTCTGGGGAAAAAAAAATGTCTAAGCTGGATCACTCGGGACCGCCAGTACCCAGGGGCTGGGTCGGGACAGGGAAGGCGGCAGACTGAGCTCCACATTCGGGGCAGAACCTATTTCATGCCAGGAGAGGGGAGGGCAGGGGCCATGCCCATCATCACCAGCGCCCCCAGCCTGGTCCCTTCCTGGGCCTTCTGCGCCAGGACCCGTCTAGCTTTCTGCGCGCACGCGCCGGTGACCCGGCAACCTCAGGTCTGGGCGGCTGCGACTGGTACCGGCGAGCGGAGCCCCGCAGGCGCTGGCTGAGCGTCACAAAGGCGGCCGGCAACTAGGCATCTGGCGTCCGCGAGGTCAGGGCGCGGCCCGGGAGGTCGCCGAGTTGGCATCTGGCGACCAGGCAGGCGTGTGCGCGGTTCCTGCAGCCCCAGCGGGGCGCAGCCCGCTCGGTGAGCCTGTGAAAGGTGGGCCCTGGTGCCGGGCCGGTGAAGGTGGGGATTACAGGGGACACCCCGGCTCGCGCGGGGAGGGGTGGGCTACCCTCCTCGGCCTGGAAGCTGCCCCGTCCCCGCCCCTCTCCAGGGGTGATTGGACATCCTTAGGTTTCCTTTCCGGGTGTGCAGCTCTGTGCTAAGGTGGAGCCAGCCTAGGTTTGAGAGTCCTTAGGGCGGGTTCTAATCCCACCTCCCCACTTACTGTTCCATCGCACTGGGAGCCTTTCTTAGCCTTCTGGCACCTGTTTCCCCATTTGTAAAATGGACATGTTCACACCTTCCATTCAGGGATGTCGTCCAAGTACCTTGGCGCCGAGTTACACTTGTACAGCATTTACGTTGTGCCAGGCGCTGTTCTGGTGTTTTCTGTATACCAGCTTATTTAATCTTTTCCACACTAGGAGAAAAGGATTGTTATTACTGCTGTTCACGTATGTGGAGACTGGGGCACAAAGAAACCAATGCGCCTAAGGTCACACATAGCAACTGACAGAACCAGGGCCCAACCCAGCAAGCTACACTGCCCCCCACTGGTGCAGAGACTTAGGGGAGGAGAAGGTGGACCCAGAAATTACACATGGCTTTTGAACCCCTGGCAACAACTTCCCCCGCCCACCACTCATGTTCCTCCACAGCGCCTGGTAATTCTTCCGACAAGCGACTTGCTGGGGCAAAGGGTTTCATTCAGCCTTCGAACTGGGTGTAGCTTCCCTGGAGCCCCTTCCAGGTGCCTGACTTGGGCTAAGGGCTGTGGAGGCTCCCAGCCTCGGGCAGTCTGTATGTGATGGAAGGGGCAGCCCTGTTCCTTCACTCGTTCCATGTTGAAGCACCTACTCAAAAAAAGAATGAGTCTGCCCCTGGTCGCAAGGACTGAGTGGGCCCCGTGGGAGAGGAAGGCTTGGGTGCAGATAGCACCAGGGATGGACAGTGGCGCGAGGGGAAAGAGAGCGGGCAGGCTGAGCACAGAGGCAACCACTCTCGGAACCTGCTGGGGCCCTGTGTCCCAGGTGGGGGCAAACTGCTGCCGGCTCCCATGTGGAAGTCTGTCTGGATCCGGACTGGGGAGGACCCCCGGGGGCAGGACCCCACTTGTTCCGTAGGTGATGGTGGGTGCTGAGGACAAAGGCGCAGGTGAAGACCCCAAATCAGGCCCTCCTCAGGCGCTCACTGATGCTGCTCATTGCCGCTGTGGTGCTGGTGGGGGCGTGGGCAGAAGATGGACAGACACCACCACAGATGGTTTCTGTTCAGATGACGATGCAGTGGACGAGGGGCATGCCAAGTGATATGGATGACGCTTACAAACGTTAAATATACATTTGGCAACTGCACGTGCAAATGAAAAGACGCCACATGTCAAACACATTGGTGAAGTTGCCTCGGGGGGGGGGCAGTGGAGTGGGATATAGCTAAAAGGGAAAGTGTGAATAAATAAACCCAAAGAGGGGTCTTGGGCAGACAAATGTCTGTACTGAATTGAGAAATATAATTAGTTTGTCCTTCAGCACCTGAGGCTTACCACTTGTGGCAGTAGGGAAGAAGTACAGGACATAGGGTCAGAAAGGCCAGCCTCCAAACTGTGCCGGTTACTAACTCACTGACCTCAGGCAAGCCCCTCACCTCTCTGAGTCTCCGTTTCCCTCTGTAAAGAAATCAACGATCAGATCTCTTTCAGCTCTGAGTTTTTATGAGCCACTATCAGTTTTCTTGGGCCACTTGGTAGTTTAACCAATAAAAGCTTTATGGAGTAGTAGGGTTTAAAGCTTGAAGAATACGGGATTTTGGAGAGTTAAGGAAAACAAGGGCTGTTTTCAGGCAGGAGAAACATTGAAAGCAAAAAGCCGTGAGGATCTCAGCACATGACTAAAAAGTCTGAGGGCTCGGTGGATGTGTCAGGCAGGCCGTAGCCCAGCTCTCCCCTGGGGCTCCCCAGCCTAGCTGGGGCACCGCCTGCCATCCTACAGCTCCGTCAGGGACTTCCTGTCCTACCCACTTCTGTGTTTCCCAGTTACCACATAATGTCCGCCAAAGAACTCACAACCCACCTCATTCCCGCTATGGTGCCACCCTAGTCCCAGGTTAGAGCCTGAACCCTCCTCTAAACCATCCTTGCCCCATTCCCCGAGGGTCCTTCCTAAACCTCAACACTGACCACATCACTTCTGGACATGTGACCCTTTGACCTACCCTGGCCCCATGTGACCTCAGTGGAGGCTCTCCACCCTTGTTCTGCTGCTACACCTGTTGAATGTCAACACAGACATCAGCAATGTAGCTCAACACAGTGATTCTCATCCTGAAAAGGGGGCCATGTCAGGGTTCCAAAGCGCTGGGGAAAGAAGACAATGGGACCCCCTGGCCACTGGGACACAGCCTGTATCACATCATTCAGGGCCCCTTTGTCCAGCACCTCCCACTGCTCCGGCTCCAGTTCCATCGCTCCCCTCCCCTTAACAAGTGAAGCCCTGTACAATTTGTAGTTTTCTGCATGTGAACACACCGTGCACATTCACAGTTCTGTGGCTTTACACATACTGTTCCCTCTGCCTGGAAAACCCCAGTTCTTCCACCACTACCACTGGGCCAACCCAGTCTGCCTTGCGAATCCTACTCACCCTGCAAAACCCAGCTCAGGCATCACCTCCTCTGAGCAGCCCTCTCTACTTCCTCCGCACCTGGACAGAATTAATCGCCCCCCTGTTTGTGCTACCCTGCACCACGAATATGCCTGAACTTCTCACTTCTCTCACCCTGCTGTCATCAAGTGGTGGTCTGCATCCCTGATAGACCCCTAAAGGACTGTGGTTCTTTGCAGGTATGGCCTACATGGTGAATTTATTATTTCACCACCTGCATCAGCACAGCGCCTAGTGCATGTCGGTCCATGGTGCAAATTCATTCAATTGGGTTTAATTTCTGTTTGGCAGGTAATGGCTCTTCCTTTTTACTCCCCACAGAAAACAAGTGATTGCTTTTCTTTCCTCACTTTTGGAAGCCCTGCCTCTCACACAGTTGTACTGGACATCCCAGTTCTTTGATGGACGAAGAAAGCCAACTGATGCAGCCCCAAGACCAGAGCTGCTGGGCCACTCTGCCCGATGTGTGCCTACAACGTGTTTTCTGGTGGCTGGGAGATAGGGACAGGTCCAGGGCAGCCCTTGTCTGCAGAAAGTGGAACCAGATGATGTATTCGGCTGACCTCTGGCGATACAGGACCATCACGTTCAGTGGGAGACCTTCCAGGGTACATGCATCTGAATTTGAGTCAGCTCTTTGGTATGTTAAGAAATTTGGTCGTTACCTGGAGCACCTAGAGATCAAATTCCTGAATCCTTACAATGCTGTCTTGACCAAGAAGTTCCAGGTCACCATGCGAGGCCTTCTCTCGAGTCTGGGCAAGAGTAACAACCGCCTGAAATCCCTTTCCATTCAGCACCTGGAGCTGGACCGCCTGGTCTGGAGGAACAGCATCAGGAGCTCGTTCATTAAAAGTCTAAGCTTCTTCTTAAAGAAGATGGGCAAACACCTGGACTATCTCAACCTGAAAGGCACCCGGCTGACTGTGGAGCAAGGCTGCCACGTTCTCAACTCCCTGAGCTACTTAAGGAATGAGAGTATGGCGTCGGAGCTCAACATCGAGGACTTCTTCAGCCACCACCTCGCTATCTACAGCAGCCCCCAATTCAACAAGACCATGGCCACGTTCCGCAACCTGGTGTCCCTGACCCTGAACTACAACTGCATCTCCGACGAGCTGCTGGAGAACTTGTGTGAGAACAATGCCAGCACCCTCTGGACCATAAACATCAAGTGCCACATTCATGACCCCCACGGGCAGGTCATCTGGGGCATGTCCTGGGCCAAATTGGCCAGGTACGCCACCAATCTGAAAGTGAACTTCTTCTTCGAGCGGGTCATGAAGTATGAGCGCTTGGCCCGGATCCTCTTGCAGGAGATCCCGGTCAGGAGCATCAGTCTGAGAAGCTGTTATTTCAGTGACCCCGACTGGTCCATGAGGCCCACCCTGCTGGATCTCCTGCCCACCTTCCGGCACACTCTGCAGGTAGGTATAAGCTGAGGGTGGGGAGGCTTTCAAGGACGGACCGTGCCAGCTTCCTGGTTTCCCCAAAGGAAAGGCCACTGCTGAGCCCACACCACCCTTTGCTGGGCTCACACACACTCACTCAACCTTAAATAGAGATTCTGACCAAACTAGGCCTCCCTGGCCCCATAAAACCACAGCAGACAACAGAGCGGGCCACTCACTTCCTACACGTGCAACACGGAATTTTCTGGTTGACGCAGCCAAGGAAAGCTCCTATATCCCCAGCTCAGAGATACAAGGCCTGATCACGAAGGTGCATCTACAGGCCAGTGGCAGGTCTGCAGGCCCCTTCCTACCTTCCCACAGGGCCACAGCAGGCGGGAAACAGTGTGACTTCAAACCAAAAGCCAGATTTGAGCCAAGTCACTGAGGGGCTTAGTAGTGTGGCTGTTCCGTGATCTGGCAGCACCCCTTATAAAAACAGGATGATTTTGTCCCTCCTAAGGACCTCACTCACAGAAGGTTGTGATGATTGACATTGATAGGGATCAATAAATACTACTAACAGGGACTACTACAGAGTGCTGATGGCTCACCTGGTACTCGCACAGCCCTCTAGTGGGCAGGCAGGCAGCATTATTGTTCTTTGTGCTACAGAAGAACTTGGGGTTTGATGGCCTGCCCACAGTCACCTGGGACCAGGACCTTGGTTGGTCTGGACTCTAAATGCATTGCCTCCAAACTCCAAGTTTTGCAAATTTGGATGAGCCCACCTTCATCTCCAATCCCTTCTGTGACCTTCGTGTCCAGGGGATTAGCTAAAGGCCTCGAACCATGATGGCTCTCAGGCCCAAAGGCAGGTCATGGAAATGTTATGAACCATCCAGCCAGTCCCTCCATCTTTGCCCACATAAGTCTTCCCCTTTGGCGCTTTTCCAGAAATTAACTTTTGAGTTCAACAACAACCATGAGTCGCTTGACAAGGAGCTGCACCTCCTCATCTTATCCTGCAGAAAGTTGTTTTACTTCAAAATCTGGGCTTTCCTTGATGTTAAGTTTGTGGAGCGGATCCTGAAGAGTCAGGAAGAAGGGCAGTGTGCCCTGCGCACTCTCAAGGTAAGAGCCCCCTGGGGCGGTTGCTCGCAATACAAGGGGCACCAGACCCCACGGCGCAGGCATCCAGCCATGCTGTTGGCGGTGCTGGGATGGAAGTCGGAGATGAGGCAGGACTGGGGGCAATCTTATTGCCTGAGTCTGTCTGTTGGAAATTGACAGTTTCACCAAAGGGAGCCTGGATTCTGCCTCAGTGGTTGGATCTGGGCTTTTCCCGACTTTGCCAACCGTGGTGCATGGGCCTCACTCATGTTGTTTCCAGAGCCTGAATGACACAGTCACGGTGTGTGTGCACGGCTGTGTTTCTCTGTTGACACAGGTGAGAATTTACACGAACAGATATGAGACAAATGAAGAGGACAGGACACTGCGGGAAATTTACCGAAAGTACAGAAAGCTGATCGATTCAGAGCTTAATTATTTTGTCATCGCCTACCCCATGATGTAGTGAGCGCTCTCCAGAGAAAGAAAGTAAGGAGCACTTTGAAGCTGAAAGCCTGGCTCATATAGAAGGACACTTGGGGCATCCCCTCCCCCACCCCCTTCCCTCACTCTCTCCATTCGGCCAGGTCCACACCAACATGAACACCCCAGCAAAGGCTGGGACTGCTAGGGATGGGAAGGCCCCGGGTGACTTTAAAGTGCTATATTTATCAACTATCCAGGGGTAATTTCTCATTTTGTCATTTGATTTTGATTTTTGACACCCTCACTCAGCCACAGAGCTAAAAGCTCAAAGCCTCTCAAAGTGGTTTCCTCCCCTGACTCCCACTAACCCATGCACCTGAGAAAGTGTGACGAGCCAGGGAGCAAGCAGGATCATGTTTTCCAGTCACTGCCATTATCAGTTCAGAAATGCTTTCTGTCCTGGCCAGCCCTCAGGTCAGAGCCTCCTGAAACTGACCTTGGCCGAGTCTGGTCTCAGAAGAATGGAAACCCACCAGCACGTCCTCCAACAAAGCAGGGAAATCCCCACTTTCAGAAGAGGCCCACTGAGAGCTGGAACTCCCTCCTACAGAGGGAACTCAGCCCCAAATTTATCAGTGTTGTGGGCTGATATCTCCAGCACCTCCTTTTCTTTCTCTTTTAATCTTTACTCAATGATATGTTTATTGATTTTTTTAGAGAGAGAGGAAGGGAAAAAGAGAAAAAGAGAAACATTGATGTGAGAGAGAAACATTGATTGGTTGCCCCACACACGTGCCCCCATTGGAGATCAAACCCGCAACCTAGGCGTGTGCCCTGCCTGGGAGCCAAACTCACAACCTTTTGGTGTGCAGATGACACTCCAGCCAACTGAGACACCCTGCCGGGGGTAGTGCTTCCTCATCTTCTGTCTCCCTTACTCAGGCAGCACGGTGCCCAGTCCTCAGGTGTGGGGCAGAACTGGAGGTGGTCATTACGTTCACATTTACAAAGAATTTGTAATGTCATGGGGAAATGTCCCCAAAGTGAAGCTAAGTGAAAAAAGGCAGGACTCAAAACTATATTTAGTGTAATATAAATCATAGAAAACACATAAGGGGTTTTTTCCCCTTTGAAAGCATAGAAGAAATACACCAAAAATGTTTATAGCTATATCTGAGTGTTGGAATTGTGGGTAGTTTTAATTTTCCTTTATATGCTTTCCCACAGTTTTCAAATTTTCTACTATAACCAGCTGTTATTTTTTTATAATCAGGAAACAATCCAGTGTGTTTCAAGTAGGGAGTAATTATAAATTCCTGAGCCCGGGCCATAGGGGTGTATTGCTTCTGGTCTTTTAAGATTTTTGTGCAGATAGTTGCATATAGGGTTTTTTCCAATAGATATAAATTAATAAACCTCAGAATACTTTGGCAAGTGTCTCGTTTCAGATTTTGTGGCCTCTTTAGTATGCTGTATCCATATTTATGCTCAACGTTTTAGGCCTCTGTTAAAGTTTACACAGATTTCAACTTTCCCATCGCTTCCATGTTCGCTGTCTCGTCTGAATGTCCCTGCAGTGCTTCTGGGCAGACGTGGCTCCTGTCCCACAAACGTTCAGGAAGGGTGGACACTGGAGAGGGAAATAGGGTGATGAGCTCCCAGGTCTGATGGGGGAAGACACTCTGCAGCACCACAGCCAAAACCCGCAGGGGCCCTGGGAGCCATCTGGCTCCTTGTGGACCTTGGAGGAGGGAGCTGGCTTGATGTGAGTGAGGGGGAGCCTCCGCTGGAATCCAGAGGCCCTGGGAGATGGATTGATCGATGGGTGTAATGATTCGTAGCGTGGACCTGTTCTGGTTAGCTTCCTTTCACCCTCAAGCCCAGAATCAAGGATGGAAGATCTTTTATGGAAAACATGTTCATTAAAATGTTATTTATGTTAACACATTTCCATAAGAGAGTTGATTTGTTTCAGTTTTGCAGATCTCTTTCATGTCTGGCTTAACAGTAGACAGCTATGTTCTCACCGTGGCTTCGGCAATCTGTTCAGTATCACAGACCAGGTGGCCCCTGGAAGACTTCATAGGGAATGCGAGGGAAAGGCATAGTGTCTTGGTATTAGTGTTAAAATAGCTTTGACCCCCATGGATCCCCAGGGGAAACGAAACAGGACCAAGACCTTGGGAAAACACAGGGCACATGAGTTTTCCGAACCCACAGATTTTTCAACAAGTGACCATTTTTTAAATTATGCCATTCAGAGGCCCTGTGGTAGAGGGAGACAGCTCCAGCCTGTGACCTGTGTGGCAGCTTCTTATCCTTGCCTGCCCCCCTCCTCCAGCACAGAGCGGGAGGATGGGACGGCTGTCTCCCACATGCCTGCTGAGGTTCCTCCTGGTTGCTGGGAGGAACATGGCATGGGAGAACTGCAGCGTGTCCCTATCCGTATTTATGAGCTGGAAGTGCAGTCTGACTCCCCGGCGCCTCCTCTCAGCTAGTGACGGAACTGATGAAGCCACGGCGACGTGCACTTCCAAGTGCATAAGGAAAGCAGGGCTGTGGTCGAATTGAAGCATAAACCATTGCCCACAGGTGCATGTTTACCCCTTTGTGCACGTTGCCCAGCCGGCTATTTCAGAGAGTGACCGATGGAAATTCTTCTTTGCAATTTGAAGCCACAGGATCTTATGGGTCCATTGGTTAAATATCACACATGGTGAGAAATTTGCATGGCTTCCTTGGGTGGCACTTAGAAAATTAACCTAATTCTTACTCGTCTACATTTGCAAAATTGCATATTTAAGAAAGCACCATCTAGACACATACACACTCACACAGAAAATCTTAAATCCTCAAGTAGAATGTAAGACCCTTGAGAGCACCTGCTTCTACTGTTTACTGTGTCTCCGTGCCTAGGACTGGGCCTGGCACAGAGGCGGCGCTCCATCTTCGTCAAATAATCTAAAATGAGACCTTGCTGAGGCGTAATTCCACCCATTTACAGTGAACAGTTGTGTCAAAGTAATGTTTTATTTGTTTTGACCCATCTTACTGCTGTAGACAAATGTCTTCTTTTTAGGCAGTCCGATCTATTGGCACATCTATGACATTAATAAAACTGAATTAACGTAGGCAACTCTATCATGTACTTGTAGACCACAGCTGGCAATGTAAGGTCTTTTCAGCAGGAAGAAACCTTCCACATCTCCTCAGGGAGGAGGGGCCCGGGGAGGGGAGGGGACTCCTGTACCATTCCTAGATGACTTACTAGCAAAACTGGGACCAAAGGCATGTCTAACCCCAAAGACTTCATGCTTTGTGTCCAAGTCATTCCTCGAGAATCTATCCAATCTCTTTCCCTCCAATCTGTCCCCAGGGAAGCCTTCTAAGTCACAGCCTAACCTTGTCACTCACATATGTGATTGATGAGGGAACAGGTGGATTGGAGAGGTTGCTGACCATCGCCTGTCCCCCTCGCCCCACCCCCAGTCTCTGAAGCAAAAGCCTGGGGCCCCGCCCCTCATCCCTAGTGTATTTCAGCAAATGGGCTCTAGGGCCAGCTCTCCCACCGCCTCCTGGAAACCCCTTGTGTTGCCCCTGCCCTCCAGAAACCTGTTTGAACGTGACCATGGTCTACAAGGTCTTACAAGATTTGACCCCTGTCCACCTCACTGCACTCAGCTTGTACCACCTTCTTTCCTCTGGTCACCTGGCCTTTTCTCTGTTCACTACAAAGGACAAGTAGGAGTGTTTTCCCCAGATACTCACATGACAGCCGCCTTCTTGTCCACCTTCATCTCAGCTCAAATGTCATCTCATCAGAAAGGTCTCCCTCCACCCAGTCTGAAGTGGCAGCCTATCAGACCAGGCATCTCAGACCAGCCGGTCTATTGCTATCATGGCACTTCCCTCTGTCTGAAACAGCTATGCTATGCGTGTGTGCCACCCGCCCCAGGACTGAGCTCCACAGGGACCAAGAGCTCTGTCTGATTCACCGCTACTCTAGTGCCCAGCACAGTCCCTGAAGCGCTGCACGTTGTGGCCCAGCAAGTACTTGGCATACGAGTTAGTAAATGAATGGGCCCACCCCCACCCCCATATACACATACCCTGCAATGCCGCAGGCCTGATGTGCAACAGATGGGAGTGTGCCATTGCTGACTGGCTGGAGAAGCAAAGGGCTTCTCTGTGCAGGGGCATTGCTGGAGGCACTGGCGTCTGTATCAGCTTCCCTACAAAGAACGTAATCCAGTTACAGAACAAGCAAATCCTGCCTGCTTCTAGAGAATAGAGTCTTCCCAACTTTTACACTTTTAAAAAGGTTTGCCAAAATCCATGCATGAATTTTCAGGTAAAAATTCTTTGAAGCAACAGATCCTAGTTTCAGGATCTGAGATCCAATTAAGCATCAGAAACTCATTAGCCAAGAGACCTCTGTAAGTCAGTCCTGAATCCTACCCATGTGACCACCCCCATCCTCAATTCCCACCCCCGGAAATTGGAGATAATAGTACTCAGCATGTTCACGGTTTGCCGCTAAGTGTTGGGATTACCAATGGCTATATAACAGGTCCTGCTTGGTTTCGACTTAAGGTTCTAACACTCTTTATCGGGACCCACACCCAGTTCCCCTAGAAACAGATTCTGCTCTTTGAGCCCCCTGCCTTTGTGTACGCCATGCCACTCTCTGGAACATCCCCCTTTCTACCCAGCAAACATCCATGTCTCCATCAAGTTCCCTCTCAGGGATAACCACCACCCCAGCCCCCTCTCATGTAGCCAACTTGTCCCGTCCAGTGACATGGCCGATGAGTTACAACTCCCTTGGGTGGCAGCCACAGAAAACCCACTGGGAGTCAGTGAGCAGAAAGGGGAATGTGTATGAGGATGCTGAGTGCCCCACAGAACCTGGGGCCCCACAAACCACCTGGGGCCCCACAAACCACCCGGGGCCGAGGAAGGGAGAACTGTAGGGAGTTCTTTCTTTTTTCTCCTGCTGCTCCAGCTTCTACTTTCTCTCCCGAGGCAAACTGGCCTCCT